GCAAGCTTGCCTGGACAACAGGGACGAAGCCTGGATTTCCGAGCTACGCCCTGAACGCCGCGGTTTGGACGTGTCCAAGACCTGGCAGCAATCCAAGTCCCGGAATGGTTCCGGACCCACGCTGTGAATGTCGGCCTGGATCAGATCCATTTTGTGACGGAGACTATCCAGTGCTTGTTCACTGTGGAATTCATCGAGTGGAAAAGTCTCACGACGGGTGTATTCTGCGAAGTGACGCCAGGTCCGGAACCGGAGTCTACGGCTCTGAAATCGGAAGCCCTAGGAGATTCGCCAAGGACGGATGCGGAAGCCAGCCTTCTGGGAACAGAGTTTTCGTCACGTTTCAGAGTGACTGGAGTCCGGACCGCGAGGAGTTTTGTGGCGTCATCATTAGATGGCGAGCCTGAGGTCAAGCGACCTCATAATACTCCGTCGACGCCAATGTCCAGTGTCTCCATGCGGCCATCGAGCTCCTTCACCCTTCCGACACCACCATCTCGGAATTCGAGTTGGATGCGGCCATCGGGCGCCTGAAGATTGAAGACTCTGGTTCGAGTGGAATCTCTGACTCTGTGCCGAGTGTGGTGGGTCTGTCTGGATCCTCGGAGGACTATTCACATGGGACCACGTCCGGGACGCAGGATTCCTCCAGGGAAAGTTCTGCGTCCTCAATGATGTCGATTCCTGAAGGATGAGCGCCTGTATACGCTGGAACGAACATGGTCATGAGCATCCAAGCCGGAGAAGTTCAGAATGTGGAGGGTAGCATGGGCATGTATTTGTCTCGTGTGGTTACCCCTGAATTCTCGAAGGCAGTGGACCAAGATGACATCGACATGGCGGGAGAAGATGACCCCCGGCCTCACAGCCAGGGCCGAGGTCGAACAGACGGCTTGCGTCTGGAACGAGACGCGCATCTAGACGTCACCAGCGTGACGAGTCACCGAATGATTCCGAAACGTCACGGGATAGTCGACGTGCACCATCCAGTTCCAGAGACGACATGCTAACGCGGTCCTCAAGGAGTGGTTTCAGAACGAGAGGGACAAGTGGGTCACGTCTTCGTCCAGACGTTCGAGAACTTCATCGTCTGGATCCGGGGCTGCCCAAGTCGCCATGAACGTCCTGCACCAGACTCACGATGGCCTTGCCCGGATGTTCATGGAGCAGGATCGAAGACTTGCGACCTTGGAGGAAAGACCGGAGTCCTTCCTTGTCAGACAACACCAAGCCCAACTCGATGCCCGTCTGGTCGTCGATCGCCAGCTCCAAAGCGCGATTCGCGGGGTAGAAGCCCTAGCTGGACGCCTGACGGACATGGAGAGTCGACGACAGCGTGCGGAGACAACCTCCTCAGTGATGGCGGAGCAGGTGAAAATCGAAGATCAGCTGCCCGCAAGCCTGGACAACGAACGGGCTCAAGATCGCGTCAAGAAAGATGTCGAGGAGGTCACGCGTCGGGAGCGTGAGCGTTTTCAGGCTTAGTACGAGCAACGTTGGCGACAGCACATGACGGAAGTTGAGCAGGAACGCGTGCGCTGGACGGCGGAGGCGACAAGAACCCTGGTCGCGCAGCACGAAGCACTCGCAGCAGAGCGGTCGAGCCTCCAGCAGCTGAAGAACACGGAAAAACACCGAAGAAGCGAGGAAGCGTCTGAAACTCAACGCCTCCAACAGCAGTTTCAGGATCTTCGTGCAACAGTTGCGACCCTACTCCACCCTGATGACCGCTTGTTCAGCTTTACGCTGCTTCTCGGCACGGATCTCCGCGAAGCGAACCTTTGTGCGAGCGATGTCGTCAGCGAACGTGTCGTGGTCGCGAGCATCCTCCAACCCAATCTAGCCGACGACAAGTACACGCGAGATAGATATGGCGGCCTGGAAGTCGTTCAGTGCGTTGACGGCCTCACGGTGGTAGACGTCCAGGACCTGGCAGCACTCGTCGACCAGGGCGGCGATGTCGAAGCACTCACATTGCGTCCTCGCGCAGATGGTCCTCTAGACCTAGCCGAGCTGGAGGGGATGCTCAATTCGACATTGATACGTCGTGAGTTTGCGTCAATCCTGTCGCACTACAGCCCGGATGGTCTCGCCCAGAAGGTATTCGCGTCGACGACCTTCCTGAAGTGTCTGTTGGTCAAGTTTCGTCAACTACGCACCCAAGTGTACCCGAGCAACGATACGGCCGTCCAGAACATGTTGGACGCCCAAAGCGAAGCGAGACAACCAGGGTGAGGGCTGATTATGCCACCCTGCATGAGTTCTACTGGGGTGAAGCTCGACGTCTACAGGAACAGTTGGATGCGGCTCATCATCGTCGTCAGAGTGATCTGCGCGGAGTCTTAGCTGAGCACGAGTTGGAGACACGGGCCCTTCGCGAAGAGGATGGTGAGCTGCGCTCCCAAGTTGAGAACTTGCGACTCCTGGGTCGCACTCCCTTTGGTTCACGTCGTCTCAATGTCCCCAAGTTAATGAACTTCCTGAATCGCGACCAGACCCGGGTTAATGGCACCTGGAAACGGCTCCAGGATCTCTTGGAACGTTTTCGTGATGGTATCGCCCCTGAGAAATCCTGGAGTACGTTGATCGCGATTACGTTGAGAACTTGCGACTCCTGGGTTCGCGGCGTCTCAACGTACCAAGCTGATGAACTTCCTGAATCGCGACAAGACCAGGGTCAATGACAACTGGAAACGGCTCCAGGATCTCTTGGAACGTTTTCGTGATGGTATCGCCCCTGAGAAATCGTGGAGCACGTTGATCGCAATCACTGCTGTGGATGACCCGTTTGTCCAGGGCTCCCCATTCGCCACGCTCGCTGAGGATTACTCAGATGAATAAGAGAAGGACCAAAGTTTGACCAGGGCGACGGTGCCCAGGGCAAATCTGCTCAGGGCGACAAAAACAACGAGGTCGACCTGACTCACCAGGATTCTGGTGCCAGTGAGCCCTCATCGCGGAAGACTACGCCCACCAAGAAGAAGGGGTCTCGCGGTTCGTCACACAAAGTTCCTGACCAACCACAGCTGCGCCCTTCTGGATGGGCTCCCGCGGCAGATCAGGCTCGCTCTCCTTCGAACCAGTTGATGTTTCTGGAGTTCGACGTTCAGGAGATCATGAAGAATGAGCCTGTGGTATGGGATACTCTTCGCCCTGACGTGATCCTGCTCATGCGTGCAGGTATTGGCTACCAGGGTTCCATCGCTATGCTAAATGGAGACGTCATGACCCACAATTTATTTCCACCGTCGGAGCTCGCTGACATGTTGGCAAGCATGATGTTCTGGAATCGGCTGGATGAGTCATTCTGGACCAAGTATGTTCCAGAAAAGTACTATCACCGTGCAGCATTACGTTTGGACCTCTTGTACTCCGAGGGGTTCGCCCTGGATATTGGCCTGATCTAGTGGATGCTGACGTGCGTATGGCTCAGGAAGTTATGGACGATGCTAGTAGCGAACACGACGATACGCAGCACGACGCTAACTACAACCCGGATGACGACGTCGACAACCAGGGTGACGATGAGGCCCAGGGTGGAGACAGTGTCCCTTCAGCCCCGAAACGTCGTCGCACTTCTATTTCGTCGCACTCTGATGCACCAGCGACCCAGTCCACAGCTACACCGTCAAAGCGTGCACGTTCCGGTAGTCTGCGTCGTCAGTCGCCCCTGGCCAAGTCGGCTCAGGGAGCCTCACTGTGGCGGACACCGAGAACGTAGAGGTTCCAGGTCCAGGGATCTCGTCCTGGCGTCACTACGGAATTTTGATGACTTTCGCTCCGTCGTCGGTCCACGCGGTACACCAGTCTGCAGGGTTCCCAGATTACGCGCCTAACAAGGCAGGTGGTATCCAGCCTTTGAAGCAGCGGTTCATCCTGGCCGACGTGCAGTCTTGTACGTTCTGGTAGTCTGCGTCGTCAGTCGCCCCTGGCACAAGTCGACTCAGGGAGCCTCACTGTCGCGGACACCGAGATCGTAGAGGTTCCAGGTCCAGGAATCTCGTCCAGGCGTCACTACGGGATTTTGATGACTTTCGCTCCGTCGTCGGCTCACGCGGTGCACCAGTCTGCAGGTTTCCCAGATTACGCGCAGGTGGCATCCAGCCTCTGAAGCAGGTTCATCCTGGCTGACGTGCAGTCTTTGCTGGCCACGGAACCTTGGACGACCATGTTTGAGAATCGTGTGAAGCGCTTGGTCCTGCACTCATACAGTGCTTGGCACCTCGCGCCAGGATGGCTTTGGATAAGTACGTCCGTTTCATGGAGGAGAACTCGTCAGGATTCTGACATGGTGGCCACTGGTTTGCTATTGACACGTCCACCCAGGGCGGTGCCGACATGCAGCGCGAGCGCAAACGGCAATGGGATGTCCCGGCTCGGACTCTGGAGACCAAGCAACGCGAATATGTAGCCGAGGGCGTGTCATCCACGATCTTCTGGGAAGCAGCATACTGGTCGCTGCCGTCGAAGCCTTGCTATTGGATTTTCATGAACCCAAGATCGTTCAGCAGTCGTAGCAGCCCATATTCACTGGTAGAGCAGCTCGACATCCTGGATCGTCGCGAGCCAGCACGAGTGCAGTGGGGCACTGCAACAAGTGATGAAGAGCTGGTGGAACATATCCCCAAGTCAGTGTCGGTGAGTATCCTTCCTGAGAAAGCTCGTCGAGATAAGCCAGCTTCGTGCACATATGATTGAGGTGTTCCTTTGCGTATTTCATCACAGTAACTTGAGTTGTCGTAGGTCTAAACCAATGTATTCTAATATATGGCATTTCCAATTATTGGTCACTTTGCTTATCTTTTAATTCAGAATTTACCTCATAATCATGTGAGTATTGGTTCGCCATCCAGGGTTCAGTCATAAGGAACCTCCAGGAACATAGGTAATTCAAGAAAACACTCCACAGCCGAAAAGATCCACAAAATCGAGACGGTTCACAAGATTCATCAATCTGGATCAGGGTCAGTGGGCCATCCAGGATTAATAGATGAGCCCAGCTAAATTTGGGGATGGTCGTCACCAGCCTGCATCACCCTGAAGCGTGCTCTGGCTCTGGCGCCTCTGGCTCTGGCGCCTTGGTTGAATTCATACAACAGGGCTCCACAGTTGAGTTGCGATAGTGGTATCCATTCAGGATCGACGTACCCCTTCCACCTGACAAGGTATTCTCTAGTCCTTCTGGATGTGCGGGTGCGTTTAGTCCATCGGAGATCCAGGATTCGTTCCACTTCGTACTCACCATCCTGGTTGTTTGCTTCCCAACTATCTTCAGACAACAATTCTGCATCCAAGTCATCATTCTCATCCAGGGTGATTTCGTCGACTGGTCTCTTCGGGAATAATGGCCTGGGCTTCAGACGACTTACGTGCACCCAGCTCCGTCGATCTTCAGTTTCACCCTGAAATCATTATGTACTTCGTCAATTCTGAAAAGGCCTTGCCATAGGTGTGCCAACTTGTCACACAGCCCTGGTTGCACTTTGGGTATATACAGCCACACTGCGTCGCCCCTTTCGAATCCGGACTTCAAACGTTCTGAAAGCTCTCTCCACTTCTGGGTCTGAGCTTCCGATCTCAGGCGCTTCGCCTTCTTCTGCAAGTCCTGAGCACATGCTCGTGCATAACCATAGTCATGTTGGAACTTTCTTCCCCATTCGTACGCGGTCTGTTCTGGAAGGCTGGACGGCTTAGGCCCCAGCATGGAAGATACGGTGCCTCGAGCATCCCAGCCATGTACTAGGTAGAATGGCGTATCCAGGCGGGTCGAGTCAAACGATGTGTTCACGGCGAACATCAATCGCTCGGCATGATCGTCCCAATCTGATTGGTCTGCCTCGGCAACATACGCTCGCACACTCTGGATAACAGTCTGAACAGAACGTTCTTGTTGTCCATTGGCTTGGGGTCGGTAACTCAGGGTGGATCTCTGACGGCTACCCAGGAGTTCCCTGAATCGGGTGAAAATTTCGCTCATGAATCTTGGATCTTGATCATGGCGGATCATTTCTGAAGCGCCAAACACCCTGAACACCCGTTCCTCATATGCCTCGGCTACATCCTGGGCTGTCGGGGAGGCTGTCGTGGAGGACATCGGTTTACACATCACGAATCCTGAGAACATATCTTGGAATAAGAGCAAGAAAGTGTTTCCTCGCTCCGATTTCGGCATGTGTGTCACGAAATTCATCGAGACCACCTCAAATGGTCGTCTTGGTTCGATATTTCCAGGGGATGGACCAGGGTTAGATGGATGTCCTTTTCCGCTTGCACAATCCACACACTCTTTTACGTGCCGTTCCACGTCTACATACATTCCGGGCCATTAGAACTCGGAGCGCAATTTTTCGTGCGTCCGTTTGAAGCCCTGGTGTCCACCCTGAAAATCCTCGTGAGCATAATGTAAAATGTCCTCTCTCAGGGTGATGGGTACTACCAGTCGTAATTCATCCTGGGCATCTCGGGGTCTGCCTCGGGTGGACTGAGCTAATCGATACAGCACGCCACGGGCATCCAGGGCGAACAAGTCTGCGACCTTGGCGATCTTCCGCAACCGGTGTGAAGTGAACCGATCGACTTCTCCATTCAGGAAATCTCTCAAGTCGCGCAGATATTCATCTTGTTCCTGGTGTACCTTAATTCGTCGCCACCTTTCTCGTGGGTAATCCAGAGGGGTGAGAGGTTCTGATGACGCTTGTTGGCCTCGGGCAATAGCCCGTGTCACGGCAACCAAGATTTTGGCTGCGCGTGGCAGTGGAGCTGCCATGACATCCAGGGCGGAGGGGCATCCAGGATTGTCCGGACAACCTTCTCCATCCTATGTGACAACGAATCCTGAATGGCCAGTCGCCAAGTGACCTTCGGCTGACTTCATCAACTTCTCTTGAATCTTGGATACTCGCTCCAGGTGTTGACGTTCTCCATCTTCTTGGACACTCCAGGATCTTCCGAGTAGAAGTGTCTTGGAAGTCAAGTAATCTGCTGCCTGATTGAAGTCCCGCTTGACGAGTACCAGTCTCACCGAGTCGAACTTTGTTTTCAATCCTTCACAGCTGACCAACCGCCTTTGCAAGTTAGGCTGATTACAGTTAACCAGACCCTGTACTTGCTGGATGACGATTCGTGAGACACCCACGGTGATCAGGTCCCTGACGCCCCTGGCTTGTGCCATGGTTAAACCATTCAGGAGTCCGCAGTACTTGGCGTCATTCACAATGACAACTTCCAGGATGAAACTCTGTGTATCCAGGATTTTCCATCCAGGGAGTTCCCACAAAATACACCCTCAACTACCTTGCCGGGTAGACGTCTTGGCACCGCCATCGAAACTTAAAAAGATGCCCTGGAAGGTATCTTCCAACATCTCCACGCTGATTATCGGCAGCGGTTTCGCACGCCCCTTGGCAGGAATGAGTTCCTCGGCGACTTCGTCTAAATGCTCTCGAGGTGTGATGCCAGCAGGATTACAGCTAGTCCATCTTCATCTCGCTGGATCTTCCTGACATCCAGATTCCACTGCGAAAGTAGAACGCACCAAGGTACACATCTCCCATCTGCCGTCTTGGATTTCATGATCCACTTCAGAACCGAGTGTCTAATGTACACGATGAGAGGACAACCCTGAATGAGCGTTCGGAACACCTGTAGTACCCTCAGCACGGCGATGACCTCCTTTTCTGCGATGTGATACCTCAGTTCCGCATCGTGGAGAACACGCCCCGTAAAACGCACTGGCTGGATCAAACCATCATGTTCTTGACCCAGGACCGCACAGGCAGCCCATTGGTTTGCATGGGGTATAATGACGAATGGTTTGGTCCTATCAGGGTGTCGTAATACTGGGGTCGATACGATCTTGTGTTTCAGGATTTCAAACGCCTGCTTTGCCCTGGAGAGATCTCGCCCTGAACGCACTTGGTCGTCCGAGAGCTCACACAGGGAGGCTGCAACCACGGGGTAGTCTTCGATGAATTTATGATAGTAATTCAGGCTGCCCAAGAAAGATTGCACTCCCTTCAGGGTAGTTGGGAACGGTAAATCCTGAACCCCCTTAGCGATCTTCGGTGTTGCCCTGATCCCTTCAGCGCTGATCTCATGTGACAAATACGGGATGGACAATTTCCCGAACTCGCATTTCGGCAGACTCACTGAGATATTCCAATACCGCAGCCTGTATAGCAAAGCATCAAAATCAGCACACAATGCACCGTCGGTGCGCCATGTGCGATATCATCGATATAAGAACTGCGCCCTAAGACAGGTGACATCTGCGTCGGAACAGGGATGTTCCTCTTGAATACTGTCATTTGGTCCGCCAGGGTCGGTATCGACCGAGCAATATGGCCGTCTTCACAACCGGTACACCCTGGAGTGCTACACCCTGGAGGTCCATCATCCTGGGGGTCCAGGTTCAGGTAATCCAAAACTTCTTGGTCTACTTCCGCCTCCTCTTCTGGTGGCAGACGCACGAATCCCCACAGGCAATTATTAAATCAGGGGTGCATTTTTCAGACCAAATGACATTCGAATCCACTGAAAATGCCCAAACGGACATACGAAGTCTGATTTCAACTTGGCTCTTTCGGTCATCTTGATTGCTCAGAAACCGCTGGCCATATCCAGGCTCATGAACCAGAGTGCTTTC